TCCTCGACGCGCCCATCTCACCGACTGGACTCTTCGGATCTTCCGTCAAAGATTTCGCGGAAAGGTTAGTTGAAGTTCAAAAGACATCACAGGCTCTGAAGCACTTCCTCCCGAAGCGCTCTAGCTCCGCAGCAGGTCGCCCTAAACAGCCGTCTGCTCGCAGCTCTCAGCCACAGCCACTGCCAGTCGCCGCTCCACAGCGCCGCCAGGCCCGGGACCAAAGACCACGCTCTCGCTCTGCAGGCCGATTGAGATCAAAGATTGAGATCAAGCCCGAGGCCTCGAAGTCGTCCTAGCACGCCTAGGAAAACGACGGTGTTCAAGTCCCGCTGCGGCCGGATTTTCACCAAAGTTTCTCAATCGTTCAGTTCCAAGAATTGTGACTGTCCCAGTGTATTATGCAGTAAACAAGTCGGCAGCACAGCCCGCTTGCCTGCACCCAAACGCCGTTTTTACGATGACCCAGATAAATCAAATAAAGATGGCATATTCTGGTGTCCCGGCCTCGGCCGATGGTGTTATGAGTGTAATAAAAATGCCCACAAACCTGTGCTCATTTCTACACACAAACACAGCCCGCCACAGTGCAGGCTTCGAAACAAAGCCTATCCAGGTGGATAGTCGATGCCATAGCGCTGGCATACGCGTCAATGGGCCTCGAGTGCCCTATAGGCGTTAAAGCGCATTCCACAAGAGGTATGGCCTCGTCGTGGGCTTGGTCTAGCGGAGTTACCCTTCAAGATATCTGTATGGCGGCAGGCTGGGCCTCCCCGTCTACATTTATCAGGTTTTATAACCTGGAAGTTCCCGCCTTACAGGCCAAGCTGTTGTCGGTATAAATAAGTATTATCTGCCCCGAACTTCGGCTCAGAATACTGCGTCCGCTTGAGTACGGCTTGCGGCCTACTAAAGCTAACATGGGGAATTAGACCTATGATTTTTTGCACAGTTCAGGCTGAGCGCTTCACCCTGGCTGTGTGGAACACTTAAGTGACTGGCTCCTTCGGATGCTAGATGATATTGAGAATGATGCTTCCAGCCTCTCTTCTCAGACTCTGTGTGAGTCTCTGGTGATTGTGCACTATATGAGCCCCGGGCACATGCCCTTGGGACTTTGGTGTCGGATCCCAGCACGCACGGCGTTTTGCATTGTGTTCCCCTAGCGTAAGATATTACGCAGTACGAGAAAACATTAAAATAGAAGTGTCCAAATATTTGACCAGTAGTACTATACTATTATACTATTGCTGCATAATTATCTATGATAGCATAATTATGTTTACTGCATAATAAACGGTGTATCAATTTACATAGACAAAATACAAGTGACTTGAATAGGCTACTAGTATTACTTACCATTTAGGGATGGGCGATTTGGCCTAAAATCCATATTGCGATATACATTGCAGCCTCTTGCGATAACGATATATATCACGATATATAAATTATAATAGAACCATTTCAGAACAGGTTAGACAGACCATAAGGAAAGCCAAACTGCAAAATGTATTTGTTTTAAAAACATTTATTATGCAAAACTGTAATTATAGAACATAATGTTGCAGATGAATAAAATTCAAGTACACTAGCTGCACAGACTTTAACAAAGAAAAAGCTTAAAGTATTGGGTTTATTTCCTGTAGTGCACGCCTGTTTCACACATACTCCGTGTGCAGTGCAGTGCGGTGGTGTGCGGCACAGGAGCAGCACGCGCTATTGTGCTTTCACATATGGTGAGTTTGCAGTGCGCAACTGATCTACGGCTGTACGACAAACAACATTAATCCTCTATTTTTTATTTCAAATCACTATTTATATTATTAGTGTCTTTTATAAAATAATATAAAAGAGTTTCAGCATTGTGATTCTATTTGTACACAGACAGTAGGCTAGTAATACGCACTCTTTCACAAGACTTAGGCTATTCACGTTTAAATTTATAACACTTAAAAACGTATTATTACTTCTATATAGATTTATATATTAAGTTGCTCAAGCAAGTGGCAAAACATTTATACATTTATGTTAACATCGCAAACATTTTAAATTAAAACATACATAATTGACATAAACAGCTCTCTCATACCTTTTCTTTTGCATTTAAATCTTTTTTACAAAAAATATTGCAATCACAAAGAACTTGTTTCACGAAGAGACAAGTGCATCCATTATGTCGCGTTGTTGAGGTAATGTTACTATGTAGTTTCCTTGCTTTAATTACCCCGAGCTTAAAGTTAAAAAGAAAATGATTGAAAAATAGTATTATTTATTTTTTTACTATATTAGTAAAAAGATTACTATATTTTCATATCAATCCGTGTTCATTTTGACCATGAACCATGCGCTGTCACTTTAATTCAGCACGTGCAGCACAGCAGAAATAGACTGTGTGGAAACGATCACTGCACTGCTGTATACACATCGCTCCTGGAACGCATTGCCGCACCGCATCCGCGTGCAGGCCTGTTAACATGGGTACGGAAAAAATATATAGCCTACATATGCACTGCAAACGGAATATGTGTGAAACAGGCGTTAGCCAGAACTGTTGCCCATACAGAGTATAGTTTGCTGCTGCTCGTCGGACGGCTTAAATCCGAACCAATGGATGTTGCACCGGTTTTTTTTACCAGCTCCTCCGTTTCGCTTTCAGCCATGTTTACTCAAGATGTCAAATACGATGATGCGTTGCAGCCGTTTGCAGCTCGTGGCTCTAAATTTTGCAGGTAGATTGCGTCAACATGCATTATCGCGATAGTGCAATATAATTAAAATCCATATCGTAGACCAATTTTGTATCGTTTATATTGCATATCGTTTATATCAGCCATTACTATTACCATTAATGCTACTTTTGGTGCTGGTTTTGTGCAGTGCTTTGTAGTCAATACTCAATTAACATCCATTGATTCAACGACGCAGATTCAGATCGCTTCATAAATGTAAATTCGTCTGTCCATGTAATTTTCAAACGATTTATGAATGACCTGAAAATTACCGCTCCACTTCAAATTGTCCAATGAAATTTGAACTTGTGCCAGATGACGATTGGTCGGTGTATTATAAATGACAAACAGGCTTCAATGAATTATGTAATATTTTAAAATATGTGATATATTGATTTTTAAAGGTTGTATCAGCGATTGTGGGTGACGTCACTTCTGTTTGTGTTTGAAGCGAGATCCCAAACAAACCAAGTTAGCTCGCCCCTCCCTCCCGTTTCGTGCATCATGAAAAAAAAAGATCATGCACGCGCATTTCTTAAAGCGACAAACAAACGATATTCAGATTGATGTTCTACCTCAATGACGGCTTATTCTGCTGGGTAAGTCATTATAGTTGTTTTTCTAATATAATTTTATAACCAAGTAAATATAAATAAAAAAAAGTACAATGATGTATATAAAATCTGCAGTCGAGCCAAGTCATATCACACAGCTAGTTTTGCTGGTGCTTCACTGGAAGCAGCAGTATGATAAAACGTACCAGAATCAGCCATATAGCTACAGATCTAACGTTATGGGGAAAACTCATGGTAACAACAGCTATCTGGAATAATATTATAACAGCTTAATATTATTATTCGGCTAACGTTAGTCCTGAACGTAGGCTAGTGTTATTGCTAATAGTACAATGTGTTGGCTAGACATATCAAAGTAGACACATATAACAAACGTAACTCACACACTAAATCCCTACAATCTGATATTCGCTAGAGCTATCCAAGTTTAGCCGAGCTTCACTTATTTTTTTAAAGAAGGATATTTTCACACACAGTTCACATCTGAAAAAGTCAGCACTAGAAGGTACTCACCTGTCCAGAAGAAACATTGCAACCTCAGCATCCGATTTAAAAAATTTCAAATCTTTAAGCTCTTTCCACCGTTCAAAAGCCTTCCCAATTATTATTCGTTTCTTTAACGAATAACGACGGTTTTCCCTCGCCCTAATCCTCCTTCTCTTCTTGGGGATTGCCTCTTCCATGTTCACTGTATCTGGTACGTTGATAGACGCGCTGGCTTCTTCTTCAGCTCTGACTTCGCGTGCAGGCGCCGTGCACGAGCGCAAAAACAAACAAAACCCGCCCCTGTCGGTGATTGGTTGGAACACTGTTTATTTTGGTTTTGAGTGTTGGTTGTACCCATTTGTTTTTGTGTGCAGATCTCAGAGCCTAGGCTGCCTACAGAGACGCGTTTTTTTGACAGCCTGATTATGGGGCAGGCAGCTAGCGGATCGTTAGGAAAAATTAGATGAATGTGATCATTTATGTTTGGGCCTGAAATCGCTGATACAACCTTTAATTGAATCTACACACTAACGTTACTTTTTATTATTGAAAAAAAAAAAAGGTTAAAAAAAATTGCCGTCGAGCCATATAGGCCTAACGTTACTCACTGAAAGAACCATATTTGGAATAAGAGCATCGGTTCCCGAGCAGACTGTGGAATACCTAAGTTATACCTGTACACCAGCGCATAACTTTTGCTACAGTTGCCCCTGCCGTCCACAGAGTTTTCGACCCTCGAAAACGGAGACTGACCTCTTCAGTGAGTCACGTCCGAAGCAAGACAGTCACATGCAAGTGACGCAACCCACAGCAACGCGTTATGGCAACGACACCTCAGAAACAGAAACGTAAAAATAAACGTGAATTTAGGGTACTTTGGTCTTGTACACATTGTCATGTTAATTATAATCAAATGCATTTTGTTTTATTGACCACAATATTATCATTGATATTTGTTTGAGAAGGGCACTTTTGATTTATTTTGAAAAAGGGCAGGGGCTCGAGCACCCAAAGGGTTGGTTGCCATTGAAGTCCATTATTCGAAGAAAAATCCAGAAATGATTTCCTCAAAAAACGTATTTTCTCTTCCACTGAGGAAAGAAAGACATGGATTTCTTGGATGGCATTTGGATGAGTAAATTATTAGGAAATTTTCATTTTGAGGTGAACTAAACCTTTAAGCTGAGGCAATAGATATGATCATGACTCTAACCTGTGGCATAAGATTTGGCTGTTCATTCTTCAGTTTCTCCAGGGCCTGCAGCAGAGGTGGTGCTTCTCTGAAGCCCAGGAAGCCAGCCACATAGGGGGCATTAAGAGTCACCATCTTACAATCCTCATACAGAAGCTATGGGGAAAAATTATATTGTTTTAGTATTTGGGAAAACAAACTATTAAATATATTTAACCTGTTAAGATCATGGACCATTGGGGTATTTCCGCCTGGATTTGGGCTACCCAAATTGAAAAGCTTCCCATTTCCACATAGGATTGACAAAACAGTGCTAAAAGTGATAAACATTTAAGTATATGTTGTCTGAGCTGTAATAAACAAACAAAAAAATATTACCTTTTTTTATGTAATTTCCAACCTACCCAAATCTAAACTCTGCCCATACCAAATATACAGTGTATAAATCGAATATCTCAGAAAACAGTCATATAATAGTCATTTTACAGAAAACCCTTTGAAATGACATAAAACACTGCTGAATGTGATAAATATTATAGTATATGTTGTCTGTGCTATAATAAACAAACAAAAAAATAGGCACTTTAATGATTTTGATCAGTTTTATTCTTTCAGAAGAATAAGTTTTATTCTTTCGGAAGTGAACCACGCGTCCAGCCTCTGACCTTAAGCAGTGTCCATATCTCGCCTGTGATAGGTCCGGCTGACGTGATTGACGTGTGACTGCGAAGCTGAGATCCGGAATTAGATCTGTATAACACAGACATGGCCTTAGAAAACGCTTGAGCGCTTTGAAGATGGTTTGGAGATTGTGTGTTTTTCTGTTTTCTCTCAGTTCAGTCGAACTGGATTTTTTTACCAACGAAAGCTCACAGAAACGCGAAAATTGTCTAATTTGAAAGACAACATCCTAAGCTAAAAGGTGATATAAAGTTTGTGGCTGTTTGTGGCTGTCTGAAGCAGTTATTGGAGCTGGAATGTGATACTTTTCAAGTATTAAGCAAATTCAAGCTCATATTTAATTTAAAATGAATCATAAAAAGTAATGGTATTCTTTGAAAAGTTTAGATTCTAAGCTTTCAAATGATACCATAAATTTGGTGATACCATATAGGGAAGCCTATAAAAAGAACGTGCGAACATTATAACGTACTCTGTTACTATCGTAACCTCTGTTCCCTGAGAGTAGGGAACGAGTATTGCGTAGCTATACGCAGTGGGGAAACTCCTTTCCTCAGATTTATTGAAGCTTATATGTAAAACGCATTGCAACTGCACAGCGAGCACAGAGAGTGACTGACTCGCTGATTGGCTGTGCTCCAGAAACTGCACATCCAATGGCGAAGCAGCCTCTGTCGTGTGCGCCAATCAGCTATCAGTGCCTATAGAGGGAACCCGAATTCGCCATTATAGCAGGTTTAAATCGGCTGAAGCGACAACTTGCCATGTTACTACAGTGCGGCAGGCTACGCAATACTTTACTCTCGGGGAAACGAGGTTACGACAGTAACCGAGTACGTTCCGTTTCGAGAACGGTCACTTCTAGAGATGCGCGGATGGGCTATTATTTCATCCGCAACCGCATCACAAAACTCATCATCCGTCCGCCATCCATCCGCACCAATGTTTTTGACCAATTTTCAAAACCGCACCCGCCCGCCATCCGCTGATACAAGGCGCTGCTGATGACAGCCGCGAGACTAGAAACCGCCCGCCACCCGCCCGAATTTAATTCAAATATTTTTTTTCGTCACGTCATCCGCCCGATCCGCGGTTTATCCGCGGAGTCCGCGGCTATAACCGCAAACCGCGCATCTCTAGTCACTTCGTATTGCGTAGCTATACGCAGTGGGGACGCAATGTAAAATGTCGCACCATAAGTAACTGGCTGCAACTGAAGTCCAGGACCCCTGGGCTCACAGAAACAAGCCAGAATTCATATAAATATGAATTCTGGCTATATATATATATATATATATATACTGATAAGACCGGACACCGTCGGGTCTAAATCATATATATAGTGATGTCACTAAGCTCGTACCCCAAAATAATATACTAATAGACCGGATACCCTCGGGTCTGATTATATATATGGGCAAAAAACAGCCAAAGCTGGTTTATAGCAAGGGGTAGTGTGCTTATGAACAGTGACTTGACACATAGATGAGACCGGACCTCGCTGAGTCTAATCATACAGAAAGGACCTTCGCCTGCAGGGAAGGGACCTCCATATTATAGAACCTCACAAATGTGGGAGGCAAGGACCAACCGGCCGCCGCACAAATGTCCTGAATAGGAAACCCAGAGGACCACGCCCATGATGAGGCCATACCTCTAGTCGAATGGGCTCTTGTGCCTATAGGGCAAGCCTGACCCACCGAGGTGTATGCCAATGAGATGGCATTCACTATCCATCTGGACAGCCTCTGCTTCGTGACTGGAGATCCTTTGGATCGGCCACGAAGCAGACAAAGCTGTTCTGACTGTCTATAGGACACTGAGCGCTCCAAATAGACCTTCAAAGCTCTAACAGGGCAAAGTAGATTCGCCTCCCCATCCATCCTCCATCAGGGGGAAGAGCTAATAGTGTAATAACCTGTGCTCTAAACGGTGTTGAGAGCACCTTAGAGACATAGCCATGGTGGGTTTGAGAGTAACTTTGGAGTCACCTATTCCAAAGTCCAAACATGAGAGGCTCACAGAGAGCGCCTGCAGATCTCCCACTCACTTGATAGACGCCAGTGCCAGCAGGAGAGCAGTCTTTAGCGAAAGTGGTTTAAGATCAACCGACTGAAGCGGCTCAAATGGAGGACCCTTCAGGGCCCTAAGGACCGTGCAGAGGTCCCAAGATGGTATAGAAGGAGGCCTGGAAGGGTTCATCCTCCTGGCCCCCTTAACCCTCTGGTGTCGGCAAACGCGCCGGTGCGTTTTGCTCGATTTTTTTCACATAGCAGCAAAATAGACTTAAAATACTCCGTCATTGGTCATACAGACTTAAGAAATATGAAAAAATAAACTGTTAACCCTCTGGGGTCTAAGGTGTTTTTGGGGTCCTTGAGATGTTTTGACGTGAACATCAGAACGATAAAGACAACACACACAGGAGGAAGGTAAAAAAGCGAGGAAAGAAGGGTGGAATTAGAGCTAGACTCAAAAGGGGAAAAAATAAATATTGCGCACTTCCCTCTATTATATTAGCCAATTGTAGTTCAGCTATGCAACAGGATTTGGTCTTTGTATAGGCCTGCAACCTCCGAATGTTAAAGAGGCTTCCATCAAGGCGGTATTCAAGAAGAACACCATCCTTGTGTCCTAAAGCATAATGAAAAAGTTGAGTGACAGCAGAGAGAAGGAGGTTAAAAAGGACTGTAGCCAAGACACAGCCCTGCTTCACCCCAACATTTACATTAAAGAACTCTGACTGAAGTTCTCCTGTGGTGACTCTGGCTTGCATCCCATTGTGCAGCTGCTGTAAAATGGTAAGGAACTTGGGTGGTACCCCAAGTTTGGAAAGTTGTTTCCAGAGCATCTCACGGTTGATAGTATCAAATGCATTACTGAGGTTAATGAAGGCTATGTGGAGGTCTGTGCGCTGCTCTCTGCTTTTTTCTAGCAACTGCCTTAAGACAAAAATCATGTTGGTGGTGGATCTAGTCTTCCGGAAGCCACATTGCGTTTCTGGGAGTGCAGCTTCTGAGATGTATTTAACTAGCCTATTGAGCATGATTTTTGCCAGAACTTTCCCTGCGATGGAGAGGAGGGAGATTCCACGGCTGTTGCCACACACGGCTCTGTCCCCTTTTTGTTTATAGATGAGCATAATATCGGCATCCTTCCAATCTTGTGGTAGGGTCTCACATTCCCAGATGTGACAGATGAGGAGGTGCAGAGGGCGTGTAAGAAGGTACCCTCCATGTTTGAAGACCTCTACCGGAATGCCATCAGGTCCAGCACTTTTATTGTTTTTAAGACTCACAATGGCTTGGCGTGTCTCCAGAAACTGGGGGGGATTATTGAGGTGTGTGACTGGTGATAGGTCAGGGATATTATCCAGGATAGAAGTGTCAACAGGGTTATTGAGGTTAAGGAGAGTCTCAAAATGGTTTGCCCAGCGGGTGAGGATCTCATGGCGGTCCTTGAGGAGAGTCGAGCCATCAGCTGAACGAACTGAGGCAACCGCTCTCTTCCTGGGGCCGTAGAGAGTTTTAATGGTATCATAGAAGCCCTGTGAGTTGTTACAGTCTGCCATGCGCTGTATCTCTTCTGCCTTCTTCACCCACCAAGTTTCACTGGCTCCGGCTCTGGAACAGGCACTGGCTCAGGCTCCGGAACAGGCTCCGGCTCAGGGACAGCCACCAGAACAGCAACGGCCACTAGGACAGACACAAACACAGAAACAGACGCTAACTCCGATTCAGGAACAGACACTGGCTCCGGCTCTGGAACAGGCACTGGCTCCGGCTCTGGGACAGGCACTGGCTCTGGCTCTGGGACAGGCACTGGCTCCGGCTCCGGCTCAGGAACAAACACTGGCTCCGGCTCTGGAACAGGCACTGGCTCTGACTCTGGAACAGGCACTGGCTCCGGCTCTGGCTCAGGAACCGACACAGGCTCCGGCTCTGGAACAGGCACTGGCTCTATCTCTGGAACAGGCACTGGCTCTGGAACAGGCACTGGTTCTGGCACTGGCTCCGGCCCTGGAACGGCAGACCCTGGCTCCGGCTCGGGAATAGCAGATACCGGCATGTCCAGGATCCGCGCCAGACGTTCCAAATAGTCCATAAGTGCCTTGGCGGCCACACAAATGGGCATCTCCTGATCTGTCTCAGACTGGGCAGACGGGACGTGCACAGTTTCTGACTGGGCAGACGGAGCGTGAACAGTCTCTGACTGGGCAGACGTGACGTGAACAGTCTCTGGCTGGGCAGACGAAACGTGAACAGTCTCTGACTGGGCAGACGTGACGTGAACAGTCTCTGGCTGGGCAGACGGAACGTGAACAGTCTCTGGCTGGGCAGACGGAACGTGAACAGTCTCTGGCTGGGCAGACGAAACGTGAACAGTCTCTGACTGGGCAGATGGAACGTGAACAGTCTCTGGCTGGGCAGACGTGACGTGAACAGTCTCTGGCTGGGCAGACGTGACGTGAACAG